GGGTTAGGGTTAGGGTTAGGGTTAGGGTTAGGGTTAGGGTTAGGGTTAGGGTTAGGGTTAGGGTTAGGGTTAACTGAATTCACTGAATTCAGTGAATTTCAGTGGATTTGCCATCATTTTGGTAAATTGAATAGCGTTCGAGTAAATTTCAGTGGATTTGGGGGTGGATTTGGTGGATTTGGGGGTGGATTTGGCCCCCAAATCCACCAAATCCACCCCCAAATCCATGGATTTGGGGGTGGATTTGGGTGAATCGTGTAACCCTTTTTGAGTGCCCTCTGTCTAGTTTTGATTGTGTTGTTTCATGTTGTCTTTGTATTGTGTTGTACTGTACATATCATATAATATTGTATTTTACTGTATTGTGTTTATTGTGTTATATTGTATCGAATTGTATTTTACTGTATTGTGTTTATTGTGTTGTATTGTATCAGGAGCATTGCTGATGTGATGCGTTGACAGCTGACGCTGTGTTCTCATCGTTGTTGTTGCGCGCGTGTTGACAGCTATGCGTGTTTTCATAGCTACGCGTGTTATACTGATTCTCATCGTTGCCGCGCGCGCGCGTGTTGACAGCTATGCAAGTTATGACAGCTACGCGTGTTATACTGATTCTCATCGTTGCCGCGCGCCCGTGTTGACAGCTATGCGTGTTATACTGATTCTCATCGTTGCCGCGCGCGCGCGTGTTGACAGGGTGTGGACATCAACGAGACGGGACTGGTGCTCATCTCTTCCATCATCGAGGATGCACTCGCAATCCCCGTCAGCGTGCTCATGGGAGCCAACCTCGCTAACGAGGTCGCGCAGGAGAAGTTCTGCGAGACCACTATAGGTGAGCGATCTACACCGGCGCCCTCTGGTGCGCGTCGGCAGCCCCGTGGTGCCTCTCTGCCACTTTATTTTATTTTTTATTTATTTGTTTGGGTGATTATATACTTTTTAATTATATTAAAAATAATTATAAGTTAAGTAATTATAATTAATTAGTTATATATATATATATATATATTAAATTCATAAAATTACATAACTGCCAATGATATATACACAAAAAGTGTGACTAGCACGCTTATTTACATTGTGGTCCTTGTTCACTTCCTTCCCTTCATTGCCTTTCTTCTATGCCTTCGCTCGTTTCTTGTTTTTGCTTTCTGTCTTTCTTCCTCTAGATAACTCCTGCGTTACATTCACCCTTTCCTTTTCAAAATTTGCTCCCTGAGTGAACCCAAGAAACTGTTTTATGCCCCAATAATTGTGAATTGTTCTAGGAAGCCATGTAAAAATATGTACATCTTGTGTAAGTTGCCTAGGCACAGTAACGTGAGCAGGCTGCCGAAGTATTTACGTAGCATGTCCAACCATGCACATTGCACAATAGTCGACACCATATCTAGACTTACCGAGCGAAAATACCCCCGTGTATCATTACAGGCAGTGAGAAGTGAACCATTGGCGGGAAAAAACTGCTAACGTTCACTCACCTCTGACATTTTCTGAGTTTCCTAACCGTTTTCCGCTCGGTCCACCGTCTGTCGATATCCAAATAGGCTGTTGTTATTGTTTTTACGCGCCATGCTCTAAACAGGTGTACAGACCTACTGCGGAGGGATCGGGGAACACTTAAACATGAACCTGGTTGAAGTTTTAATTTCACCCTTGCACGCCGCGGATCAGTTTCGACTGCAACCTCTATTGGCTGAATGACCTTCAACCGTGACTGTGACCTTGGCCCTGACTGTTGCCCTTGACCTTGACCTTGACCATTGACTGTGACCTTACCCCTGGCCTTTAATCCCAACCTTTGACCTTGACCTTGACCCCACAGGCTGCAAGGACAAGGACGTGGGAGTGATGCTGAAGGAGATGTGTCAGGCTCCGTACTTCCGCGTCGCCGTCGTCGACGAGGTCGAAGCCGTCGAGCTCTGTGGTGCCCTCAAGGTGAGTGCGCGTGCGGCAGTGGCGCCACCTAGCCCAATTCGTCGTCGCGCTGTTCGGTGGTGCCGCGGCGTCCTCTGTGTGCTTGTAGTCGTCACCGTGACGCGTAGCTCTGTGGCGCACAAGTACAATTACAAGTACTGGTAAGTATAATTACAAGTGCTGGTAACAAGTACAATTACAAGTACTGGTAAGTACAATTACAAGTGCTGGTAACAAGTACAATTACAAGTACTGGTAAGTACAATTACAAATGCTGGTAACAAGTACAATTACAAGTACTGGTAAGTACAATTACAAGTGCTGGTAACAAGTACAATTACAAGTACTGGTAAGTACAATTACAAGTACTGGTAACAAGTACAATTACAAGTACTGGTAACAACTACAATTACAAGAACAGATAAGAAGTGGTGAACTAGGAAAGGTGGATTTCCTTGTTACCGTGCGTGGACCGAAGGTATCTAATTACGCAGGTTCGGGGCTGCCATGTTATTCATATATATAATAATAGAGAGAGAGAGCGCAGTAAAGTCTATGTGGCACCCAGGAAGGAAGTATTGAAACCATAAACCCTCTAAACTGGGGGTACGTGATTTTTTTTTGGCCGCCGCAGTAGTTGGTATCTACAATAATAGAAACGGTGTGTGTGTGAGAGAGAGAGATGTTCCGGCGGGTGAGGCGGCAAGCGTAGAGTCGAATCGCGTGTTTTCTGGCAGCGAGCGAGCGCACCTATCCTCCCCCTCGCTGTGGTGGTGGAACAACAGCTGTGGCACGCTGGCGTGTTTTGTTTGTAGAGCAGAAAAGCTGAAATAGCTCAGGGCGGGGGGGGGGTTACAACAGCAAGTGTTCCCCCCTTTCCCCCTCGCTACCATCATGTACAGCACACGTGCACAGCGTTTGCGTGCGTGCGTGCGTGCATATGTGTGTGTGTGTGCGTGTGTGTACGTGCGTGCATATGTGTGTGCGTGTGCGTGTGTGTGCGCGTGCGTGCGTGCGTGTGTTTGTAGTATGCATGTAGGCAGGTTTAGGGTTAAAAAAAGGTAGGTCCTAAATTGGCAGGAATTGTTATCGCAATCCTAGCAGAGGTACGTTAATTATAACTCGTTTCTGGCAGCGCGCCAGCCATATTGGATTTCGAATGTGCCGGCCAGCTGTACAGGCAACGTGCAGGGATGCAATGCCGGTTCGAGTCTTGCGTACCTCTGCAAAAGCCAGAGCAGTGTGCGTTGATGCACCGCCGAGGCTATCTCGCATTTTACCCTCACGTCGAAAGATTCTTACACCAATATCCCCTTCCTAGTATCATAAATTCATCACAGAGGCACAATACGACTGGGTCACGTAAAGTACATGGTACTGTTGCTTCTTATGCGATGGTTGTTGATTGTTAGTGTAGCCGGCGGGCAGTATGTAGAAGATTGAGAGGTGCGGAAGTAGATGGAAGAGTAAGAGAGGGAGAGAGAGGAGAGAGTTAGAAAAGTGGGGTGAGGTAGAAAAGTTGAAGCAGGTGGAGAAAGTGGTAGACTTGGAGGAGGGGGAGAAGGCGGTACAAGATGGAAGAGGAGGTGGAAAGGCGAGGTAGTGGAAGGCGCTAACGCATGCGCAGTCTGGAATCGTGGGCGATGTAACGTTCGGCCATCGGAATTTTGACTATCGTGTATGTGTTTCCGTTCATATCTTAACAGTCGTGTGTGTGTGTGTGTGTTTGTATTTGCTTTCGAATCTTCAGGTTTCTATTTGTGTTACCATTCAATCAACTCTTGGCAGTCATATCATGATCACTCTGATTCTGACCGTTCCATCTGTATTTCCATCTGACCAACCGGTGATCGTCTGTATGTATATTCCCCATGTGGGCTGCTGTCCCTCCGTTCTAACGGCAGCATTGCTGTCTGTGTTTACATCCAACCAACCGGCGATCGTCTGTATGTATATAATTATTATTTCCCATGGCGGCTCTGTGTCAGTGTGTTCTAACGGTGTCTGTGTTTGCGTCTGCATAGAACGTGATCGCCGTGGCGGCGGGCATCACAGACGGTCTCGACCAGGGCGACAACACCAAGGCCGCAGTCATCCGCCTCGGCCTCATGGAGATGATCAAGTTCATCGAGCTGTTCTATCCAGGTAGGTGGCGCCACGCGGCGACGACGTGGGGCGGGAGCGACGCGAGACGCGCGTCTCGGCACAGTGCCGAGACAGGGTGAGGCAGGTCTCTGCAGGTGAGACAGGCTGAGGCAGGTGAGACAAGTTTATGAGCAGGTTATGGAGCGAGGCCGGTTACGCCGGGTGCCGGCACGCGAGTTGAGACCTGTCTCGCTCGACAGTAAGGCCTGCCTGTCTGTCTCGGTGCGTGACGAGACAAGACTGGTGGTCTCAATGGGCGCTGGGTTGAGACGTGTCTCTGTGGTTGCGGTCTCGATTACGGACGTCTCATTTGCACGTGTAGTGAGGCCCAGCAATCGGCGTTTACGCTGGCATAAAACCGCCGGTGAATTATTAAACTCATTTTTCGCCCCCTCTAATTATTAACCATGCTCGCACGATTGTGCGCGTTTAAGAATGCTTAGCTGCGCAGGAAAATTAAACGTCGTTTGTTCTTTTGGGTTTTTTTGCCGAAAAGCTGGGTCTCGTTAACAGCCAGCCGGAAGTGAATTGTGGTCGTTTAATGGCGGTTACCTCGATCGCCATGTTTATCACGGTATTTTGCACCTACCTGGCTGGTATTTTGCACCTACCTGGCTGGTATTTTGCACCTACCTGGCTGGTATTTTGCACCTACCTGGCTGGTATTTTGCACCTACCTGGCTGGTATTTTGCACCTACCTGGCTGGTATTTTGCACCTACCTAGCTGGTATTTTGCACCTACCTGGCTGGTATTTTGCACCTACCTGGCTGGTATTTTGCACCTACCTTCCTGGTATTTTGCACCTACCTTCCTGGTATTTTGCACCTACCTGGCTGGTATTTTGCACCTACCTGGCTGGTATTTTGCACCTACCTAGCTGGTATTTTGCACCTACCTAGCTGGTATTTTGCACCTACCTAGCTGGTAGTTTGCCACCTATGATCTGCGCGCATCACGCGGCGATGACTTGTGGTTCTCGAACGGCATTTGGTGTCTGGCTGATGCGTCGAGGTCACCGTGCATGTCGGTGTGATGCTCGCTGAGTGTATTTGGTTGTAGTAGCTGTGGAAATATTTTACTAGCGAGAGTATAAGCGTTTGCTTGCAGCTGTGTACAGCACGTGGCGTACCTGATATGGCTTAAGTTGATAATCGTACTAAATGAGTGTACTTTTAATAAAAGATCGTGCGCATGTGTAAAAGGCGTCGGTGCCTTGTGCTATAAATACTGGGTATTTAAATTAATATTAACAGCATGCATCATGCAGTGATCTAACTTTGATCGGTAGCACCTGAATTCCAGAAGCACTACTCAGGTATGTAGATCTCCCCCAACCTTCCCCTCCCCCACCCTTTCTCCACCACCCATGCACATGTCGTGCTTTCATAAAATTGCCATGTTAGGTTTTACGAGTCGGGGTATCAACATGCATACATGTGGGGGTAGGTAATGACAAAGATAAGACAATAGAAATGACAAACGACAAGATGATTTGTCATTATCTACTCCTGATACACGTATACATGCAGTATAATATGTAGAGAGTGCAGAACACACGCGGTCAGAGAGCTACGGCTTAGAACTATGGCTTCCGACAGTTATCGCGCGCAGTAAAACAGCTCCCGTGCGTTGGTTAGTGCATGCCGATTTTATATATTGATTATTCTACGTGTTTGTTATTGCTGCTGTTATTTTTTTTCCCCTTGGTTTCGACGTGTGCACAAGCTTGCGTTCGATGGCAACGGTAAAGTTCGTTCAAACCCGAAGCGTGATCGTGAAGCATGTGTTTCTAGCGACTAGACACGTGGCGATGTCGTTTCCGTGGTCAGCTTCTGAACTCATCAGCATGTTTACTGCCTGAACTCTCTAAGATGTACTTAACTACAATATAAATGGTGTATACACGTGTATATATACATACATAAATATATGTGTATATGTGTATGTATATATACATATATACGTATATATATTATATATATACATATATACATATATATTATCAAGAGCGTATAAAGAAGGAGAGCGTACAACGGTGAAATGCTGAAACCATGTTGCAGTGTTAGTCGAATTAATAAACTTTCCCCCGTTTTATTTTTTTACAGACTCGCGTTCTGTGCACTGTATGTTGCTTCCGGTCGCCGCCGTGTAGCGCTGACTCGATTCGTTATTACTACAGCGTTGCTACATCCAGCGTAAGGGGCGGATCATCACCATGGTGATAAATAACAAGACGTTTTTGTGGAGTAATGGCTGCGTCAATGACTGGAAATGCGAGAAAAGATAGTAGAAGGAAAATACATTTCATTGTCAATGAATGACGGAAACACGCGAGGTTTCCCGAAGCTATCACCAGAACGCGAGTCGGTCGCAGTACTGACTAATGTCGAGTCGGTGTTCGGCGAAAATACCAGACTTTCACCACTCATTATCTCAGCGTAGGGGCATCGTAGGGACATGCGGTTTGTTTTATATGAACAAGGTAGGACAGCTGATCAATAATACTGGTTTTCAGCATTTTACTGTTGTACGCTCTCCTTCTTTATACGCTCTTGATATTATATATATATATAATCAGGAGTGTCTAATAAAAGCAAATTGTGTTTTTATTTAGAAACAAATTTGTTTTTCCTTACTCCTGATTTTATTTGCACGAACAGTGGTTGCACTGGTCTGTGTTTTGCATGTCGGCTCATCTTGCTTCCCATTCTTTTAGCAGGTTCCTCGCGCGCTGGTTGCTGTCACTGGTCGCTTCTGCCTCTACTCTTAATATAATCTCTTATCAACGCGCACTCCCTGCTATGCAGTATACATGTATGTGTGCGTGTGCAACCTCGTCTGCTGCTTGTGCATCTGTGTCGCTGTCGTTGTGTGTCTGCGTGTGGCGTGTCTGTATATGTCAGTGTATGTGCATTTGCGTGCGTGCGCGTGTGTGTGTCTTTTTTCCGTGCAATTTTTTTTTGCTGCTTGTATCTGCATTAGCGTTCCAACTAGTGCTTCGGCATGGGTGTAGGTAGGCATGGCAGGCAGGCAACCCTCGCGAAATGAAAGTTGATAGCGGTGGGTAAATCCTACTATTACTAACAATAGTAATAATTTACCTGACAATTGCTCACGCTCTGAAGTGATGCAAACGAACCGAGAAGAGTGACCGATCGTTCTACGCGAGAAACGGTCGTGTCTGCAGCATCAGTATGACAGGGTGACAGGGTGACAGGGTGACAGAGTAGCATCAGTGTGCGGCGTGACACCTGTGTGAGTGCCGTGGTGCGTCGCCTCCGCCGCCGTTGCAGCTTTCATTTCGTTTTGCCGTGCCGCTGCGGTGATGCCAGGGTCAGTAGAGACCTGTGTGGCGGTAGTGTCTTATCCAACCACCGACTAATACTGCTTCTGATGCTGCGCAAACCACAACAGCTGCTGCATCTCCTTGCTACGCTCCCTGGCTCCAAACCGCTTACTGTTCGTAACTGTAGAGGGCGTTGATTCGATAAAGAAATGTGTTGGATTTTGTGTGAGGTCATTAATTGACAATAATTGCTATTAACTTCAATTTAGAGATCGACTTGTGCGGTCACAACATTTAACTATTTGGTTTTAGGCATGTTATGGTTAGTTGGTCACTAAATTATATTGTTAACTGCGTGTTTAGTTTGAATTTAAAATTGTAGAAAAAAACGAACAAAAAAATGTTAGTGGTAATCTTCATTCCATTTCATGCGATCATAATATTATAATTTAACATTACATTTATATCAAAAAATTGAACGGTATTGGTTTCCAAATTCCATATTTATTATCGTTTTGCTCACGTTTTATTTTAAATCATTTCTTGTTGTTATTGATTTTCTGAAAATTGTCACAATAAATTTATTTCGCCATCCTTTGGCCTGGTTTTCTCTGTGAACTATTCAAAAATCAATTGACATTTCGTCCGACTAGGGTGTGGGGAGGCGTTAGCAGGGAGGTGTGAAGCGCATTGTGTGTGTGTGTGCATGCGTTTCTTAAAACCAACACATGTACAGTAGTAGTTGCCTTTCTAGAGCGAATTGTTAGCGCGCACATTAGACAAGTGGGCTGTGATTAGACACTGTCGCTATCCTGTCTCTTTTGACTAACCGGGGGTCGTTTGTTTTGGCTGTAGGTCGCGACAAATGGATATTCCTGCAGTCGTGTGGCATAGCCGATATAATAGGTGGCTATTGCAATGGGACAAACTACAAGATGACGATGCAGTTTATGACGTCCGGCAAGGTACGGTGAGGGCGCCAGGCGCCGCGCCCGCCACCAGAGGGCGGCAGCATCGGGGAGCCGTCCCGCCCGTCCCGAGACGCGCACGCACAAATTCTCCCGCCCCCAGCGGTGGCACCCCCACCGCCCTGGCGCCCACGCCCGCCTGCTGAGCGTACAAATTTCTCTTCCCGTTGCGCCGAAAAAATCCAGCGTGCACGCCGGCGTTATTTCTAACCCCCCGCCACCACCCTCGGAACGAGAATTGCGTTTCCGGCCGACAAACAAGAGCGTCTCCAGTTGCCGCACTCTCTCGTGCTCGGGCGCGGCCCTTCCCCCCGCGGTGGTGTTCGCCGCCTCCCTTCATCAACGCGGTCCCGCTTTGCTTTTGTCTCGCTGCAGGCTGTAGCACTGAAACGTTCCTAGAGAGCTGTGGCATCGCCGACCTCGTCACGACCTGCTACGGCGGCCGAAACCGGAGACTCGGCGAAGCGTTCGTCCGCACCGGGAAGGTAATGAGAGGCGGTGCCCCCTGCCGGTGCGCGGGGGGGAGGACACCCCACGCCGGGCGGGGCACGCCCTGCCGCCTCGTGCGTCTCCTCACACTCGTCTCGTTCGCCGAGTTTCCTTTCTAGCGGATGCGGCTGACGGACCATGCCGATCTTCTGCTGGTGGCGCGGGGTGCTGGCGTGGATTCGCGTCGCCGCGATTGCCCGTGGCGCGCTCTGGCGGGCGTTGCATGAGCGAAATTGTGCGAGAACGAATGCGGATGATTGTTGGTGTGCGAGCGAGCGTGTGTGAAGTGGCGCCACCTTGTGGCAAGCGCTGTCGGCTGCGGTCACGGCGAGTCGCGGGCTGAGGTCGGAGAGTGGTGGGTGTGGCGTTTGCGCGGGCAATCATAGGTGTTTGATTCTCCTGTGTTTTATCCTGTGCTTTTTCGCAGAGGTGTGTTCTCTCTCGGTTTCGCACGTCGAGGGAATTTGTGAAACGATTCTAACGATCGTACACAAAATCCATCGATTCTCACCTAGTCGTGTCTGCAATCCTCTTCTGTGCATATATACTTTAATGCTATAGTAGCAGTTCTAGAACTTAAGGCAGATAGAAGAGATGTAGATAGAACGTTCACTGGTTTTACAATGTCTATAATTTTTTAGAAGTATTTACTCACTATATTATTGTAAACGAAGTTGTATTTTTCGCATACAACGTGACATTTGTGCGAAACGCGTTTGCATAAAGGTATTAATAGGACTCTTACATCAATATGTTTGAATTAGTTTAGGATCTAAAAGAACAGGCAATATTTTTGCAATGCCACTATGTGTAAAAAACCGTCCTGCATTTTCCTATTTATATTTCGTTTAAAAAAACATTTTTCTGGTACTATTTATGGTGCCTTTAGCCAGCACTGCAATGATAGCTCTATTACTAATGTTTAAACCGGTGCAAAATCGACTGAGGTGGGGCCGCTGTCAGCAGTGTTGTAGTTCTACAGTAACGATTAGCACTATTGCAACGCTAGCGTTAATGCGAATGATGAAAATGCGATCGCATAAATACTGTAGACACCCCCACTGCAATCCCCGCGGCAATCTGCCCGCTTACAATACAATAAATGCTACAGGGAAGAAGTAACGGCCCATCATTACCGACTGGACCGATTCACCGAGACTAGTATTACGATATTACGATGTCTGATGTTATTACTGATCAGACCGATTCACGGAGACTAGTGTTACGACGAATACATGTCTGACAGCGGCCTCATCATGTCAGTCTGTATGACGGGTGTCACTGCCACCGACCTTGGTCACTCCAGCGGTTGTGCTTCTAAGCACTTCTTCTTGCTTCTTTCAGAGCTTCTAAGCTCTTCTTCCATCCTTCGTTTCAGAGCTTCTAAGCTCTTCTTCCATCCTTCGTTTCAGAGCTTCTAAGCTTTCCTTCTTTCAGAGCTTCTAAGCTCTCCTTCCTTCCTTCGTTTCAGAGCTCCTAAGCTCTTCTTCCTTCCTTCGTTTCAGAGCTTCTAAGCTCTTCTTCCTTCCCTCTTTCAGAGCTTCTAAGCTCTCCTTCCTTCCTTCGTTTCAGAGCTTCTAAGCTCTTCTTCCTTCCTTCTTTCAGAGCTTCTAAGCTCTTCTTCCTTCCCTCTTTCAGAGCTTCTAAGCTCTTCTTCCTTCTTTCAGAGCTTCGTGCAGCTTGAGCGGGAGCTGATGAATGGACAGAAGCTGCAGGGTCCGACGACGGCGGCCGAGGTCTATGAGATGCTGAAGAACAAGGGCATGGAGGACCAGTACGTGCACGAAGAAGCCCTGCAGGGTTTCTCTTTCCATCTTCCCCCTCCTCCCCCGTATCTGGTTTCGCGCGGCGTATTTTTGCGGGGAAAGGTTTAGCCTGTTGCTTTACCACGTGACGTGTGTCGCGGTGCTTGCCGCGTGCTCGCTTGATGTTCAACCGCGAGTGTTCACCACATGTTTACCTTTTGTCTAGCCAAAATGTTTCCTGTGTCTTTACCTGATCAATGTTGTTTTACCTGATGTTCGACCAGTGTTTGGCACCCGGTTCCTGCCTTGTTTTCCTGCTCACTGCCCTGGTTGCTCCTCTCTCTTCCTCTTCCTCTTCCCGTAGATCCAAAAGTACCTCACCAGGTGGCAGCGCTGTGCCGGTAGTTGACTACTTCGCTCGGTAATGGATTTGTTACGTAGTTTGAGCGGCTGGGATGTCAGAGGCCGACGTGGTGGTCCGGTGGTCTGGTGACGCGTGGATGTTAGAATAGTAGGAACGCGGATGTATGTGAGGTGGATGGATGCGTATGCTGCATGTGCGTGCACCCGTGTGTGCGTGCATGTGCCGGTGCGTGTGTAGATAGATGTGGTGACAGTGATGTGTGGATCGATGGATGGGACTGTGACAATGTGTTGTGCATGGTGGGAGTATGGATATGATGGTGACAGGTGGACAAATGTGACAGTGGCGTGTTGATGGATGTTGTGACGGTGACACATTGACAGATGTTGTGACAGTGACACGTTGATGGATGTTTGTGACAAGGACGTATTCGTGGATGGTTGTGACAATGACACGTTGATGGATGTATGTGAATTGTGACAGCAACGTGTTGATGCGATGTTGTGACAGTGATGCATTGATGGATGTATGTGACAGCGACGTGTTGATGCGATGTTTGTGACAATGATGCATTGATGGATGTATGTGACAGCGACGTGTTGATGCGATGTTGTGACAATGATTATGATGCATTGATGCGATGTTTGTGACAACGACGTGTTGATGCGATGTGACAATGACACGTTGATGGATGTATGTGAATTGTGACAGCAACGTGTTGATGCGATGTTGTGACAGTGATGCATTGATGGATGTATGTGACAGCGACGTGTTGATGCGATGTTGTGACAATGATTATGATGCATTGATGCGATGTTTGTGACAACGACGTGTTGATGCGATGTGACAATGACACGTTGATGGATGTTTGTGACAATGACACATTGATGGATGTATGTGACAGCGACGTGTTGATGCGATGTTGTGACAATGACACATTGATGCGATGTTTATGACAGCGACGACACCCCGTCCATCGTCGCCACCGCTCACGCGTGTTTCTCTGACTCTCCTCCCCCGCAGGTTCCCGCTGTTCACCGCGATCCACCGCATCTCGTCGGAAGGCATGCCTGCGAAGGAGTTGATCAAGTGCCTGATGCATCACCCGGAGCACATGTAAGCGCCGCGCGCACACACCACGCAGCCGCCGCGCGTAGATCGTAGCAGAATAATCACTGATGATTGCTGCGCGCTAAAGAGGCATCTGCCGCTTCGCTAGCTACTAACTTCGATCACGCACGAGCGAGCGTCGTGCCTTTCTCGTCGCGTCGGACATGCCCGGGGGGGGGGGGGTACTGTCGTGCAAAAATGTCATTTGTCAATTATATTTCTCAATTTGTTAATTTTATTTGTCACTCGCACAAAATTTTTAGTTTTTTTCATTCCTTCCCCAAACATGTTCGCTATGTTCCGCTCATAGGTCGCTTTTTTATCCCATTGTTTTTAATGTGCTGTTTTTGAGTGTTACATAATTCATCACGTTGGCAATCGATGAAAAATTTCGAACCCAAGGTTGTACGTGTTGCCGCTGTAACATGGCACACTGCCTTTTTCCTACCCTCAAAATTTGCCACGGAGGCTATGAGGTCAGGGTTTGCAAGTTTTATCACGGGGCTGGTGACCACTCTTGTCCCACAGCTGGGAGCCACTATTCTATTATCGGCGGTATTTCCGGGCATGTCTGATCAGGGTGCGGCGTGAGCTGCACTAGATGGTATGGCTGTAGTTGTCTGATAACACAGATGGCTTCTTCTAGCTGCAAGGATGACACGCGAGGTGAAGCAAGCGCGCGAGGGGGAGGGAGGGGGGGCGAAGAAGCAGAGGGAACGGGATGTCGGTTGTGACGATCATGTTGAACCGACCCCAGGGGGGAGGGTGGGGTGTGTGAGATCTGTGCAACTTTCCATTGCTGTTGCCCCGCGGTTTGTGCCTTGCTATTAATACAACAAGCAGATAACCACTGATTGCTGCTGGGTATAGTAGTGGTGGCATGCGCATAGCAATAGCGCTAGTTCGCGTACTAAGATGCAATCGACGCGCGCGGAGCGTCGTGGATTTGTTTGTTGTTTATCGTTAGATTGTTTGTTAACTGGTGCTTGGCGGTCGGGTGTCGGTGTGTTAAGGTTGCGGGCGAATCACGCACGCACGTGAGACGCAGAGAGGCTGGTTGTGATGCTGCGTAAACCCCCTATTCCCTGCTGCGCATATAGAGGTCTGATCTCATTGTTACCAGGGGGTAGATAATGACGAATAAAGGAAGATTTGTCGTTATCTACCCCTGTTGTTACGTAGGTTTAGCGGCTAACCGTTCGTAGCTCGCCGTTGCCGTAGCTAGACTAACGGGTCGTTACGAGGCGCGTGAGAGACGTGACGTTGTTGTTTTTCGTTGTTATTTATTCGCGGCGACTGTCACTTTGTGTCACCCGTCACTCACTGCAGGTACCGTTCTATCGTAGCAGTGAATGTGGCTCGTGTTTCACCTCGTGTTCTGTTGTTCTATTCGCCTGCAGAGTTCGTTCTCTCGAGTACTTTTCGTGTGTTAAATGCGTATGCTTGATAAAGATGAGATATACATACTCGTTTTAAATTGATAAGGGAAACTTGTGAAAGTAAAGATTAGCCACAGAGAGAAAGTGCAATGATTTCTGTGCGTCTGTGTGTGTGTATGTTTGTGGAATAGTGAGTGATATAGTGTTGAAACTACCTGTGTGATTTGTAAGTTGAAACTACCTGTGTGATTTGCAGGTTGAAACTAATGTGAGTGAAATATCCCCTGAAGAATGCGACGTGTTGAATAGCATAGAGTAACTAAAATTTGTCGGATGCATACTATCGTTGAGTCTTAGTAGCTTATTGCCTTTTGCTTCGTTCCTGCTTACATTAATTACTATTAATTTTACTTAATTATTGTCGTTTTGCGTGATTCCGTCAGCATGAACCTGTGGCAGTTGTCATGGCGATCAACATAGCAGTCCTGGCAAGGCTACCACAGGTGTCATGACGACGACCTGGAAAGGCCGCCACGACGCCAACCTGGCTAGGTCGTCATGGCGACGACCTAACAGGTGTCATGGCGGCCGCCGGATTTCCGACGTGTGAGATTAATGTTGTCATTTTGTGGCAGGGACAAAGAATACCACGAGCATCCCTTCCTTCACCTACGATCCGTGCCCGCCACCTCCCCAACGAGCCCCTGAAGCAGTCACCAGGTGGAGCCACCTGTCTGCGCATGAGGACGCGGTTGCTGCACGCGCATGAGTGTCGGCCGTCCGCTGCAGTCGGCCGAGATTTAACGATCAGTGTTTTTTGTTGCGTGTTTTGTTCGTGATTGACGCGTCGTACTGCTGAACAGAAGATGAGAAGGGGGCGTGGAAGAATTTCACAAGGCAAAATCGGGTTATTTTAGCTTGCGTTGTTGTCGTTGTTGTTTAATTCTGTGTTCGTGTTTATGTGTGTGTACACGCGCGCGCGTGTGTAGTGTATTTATCATCCGCTATCGCTTCGCTGTTGTTTGCCTGTTCAGTTATTCACGAAAAATCGCACCACGCTGCTCACATATGGCTTTTACCGATACATAGGCAAGGTACTAGGACTGTACCTTACTAGGACGCAATCTTACCGCCCACTTTTCATATAAAACTTTTCCCCATATCCTAGAGCATGTTTCAATCATGATAAACATCATAACTGCGATGTTGCAATCTTATGTAGACGATATTTTAGAACAGGTTTTGTCGGTAAAGTTGACGCAGTGACAGAGAGGTGGAATTCATAATTCACTGGTGGTTAGGATGCATAGGGTATATCAATACTGAATGTAAAATAGGCAAGGGTTAGGAAGACAAACAAATGTATGGAATATCTGTATGTAGAGTGGCAAATACATCAGCATTGTGTCTCTCGTTCTTTATAGTGTACATGTATATATATATATGTTAATAATTATGACAGTTACTCAGATGATAATATACATATTCATCTATATATAGAAATGCAAAACTTTCATTTATTTTTTACGTGACGCGCGTGTGACCGTGTCCTGCGCACGCGCGACGGGACAGGTATCGATGTAACGACACAGTCCCAAGTCGGTGTCGAATTCTCGAATATCGCGTTTCTCCTGCCGCGCGCCGCACAGCTCGAGGTTACACGCCAAACTCAGGGCAACATTGTCATTGATGAAACTTTTTCGACCGATACTCACGAGTTTTTCTCTGTGGTATCTATTACCCGAATGATTTGCAAAATGCTGCGGTCCTTTGGCAGAGGACGGATCTCGGTCTCTCTCGTTTTGTTTCGCCTTTTGTGTTGCAGGCTTCACCACGCTATATGTACAGCTGTTGTGTGATCACGCATCGACTAGTATATGTATATATATAATCGGCATGTTGTATTCTCCTTCCCTCGTCGATTCCGCTCGACTCTGTAGCCCGCATTTCTGCTTCCAGGCCCCTCATTATACCCGTATAGGCAACAGTCGATGTGTGTTGTTCTGACCATAGAGCATAGTTGTTCTGATCATAGAGCATAGTTGTTCTGACATAACCATCTACGATCATTGCAAAAAATTTGTCCAACGTGATTTTTTCATGTTGCCTATTCGCTATCGTCATCTCTGGGTGCTGGTTACCAAGTATATCTGACATGAAATTGTTACTATTGGCATTAGTTCGAAATTAATTCTACATGAATGGTGCATTTCTATAGAGAGTAGCCTATTGATAGTTTGACAGCATACAGTATGTAGTCGTTGGTTATGAAGCGCACAATCTATATTAGTTGCTGTGTTAGGGCGTCTTCCATCCCTTACTCGTTCAATTAGGGCAAACGCTAATAAGCGGTTAAGTTTATGGATGGAAGGAGGCGTTAATACAGAACTAGCTGTTACCATGAACAAAGCACAGGCACGACGAACGTTTACGTATATCATCGCGACGAGGATTAGTTGTTTATTATCTCGTGCCTGTGCTTTGCTTGTCGATGTCATTTGTTGTCTGTGTGAGCAATCGATTGAGCTTTATATTTTGCAAAATGTGTAAGGAATAACACCTTGGTTAGTTGATTGCTTTGTTCTGGCTATTTTTCAAAACTTTTGCTCAGTCAACATGAGAGTGCAATATTGACAGAAAAAAAACAATAACAGGTGGAATATAAACAATATTGTAGGTCACTTTGTTTTGACAATTAATTACACGAGACAATAATATCAAGAATCATTTGAAAATATGTGCACTGCTTGCAAATTCCAACCCTCATGGTATCTCACAGATTACACTTCGTGTTCATTTGTGTGAATACTACATATTGCCATGGTTTCCATAACAGTAAAATAACTGTGAAGCTTGCATACAAGACCCAATTCAAATGCTATTCACTTTCAATCTCACAATTTCAGCCCTATCCATCGTGATAACCTAGGAACCAAAATTAAACTTTTTGAGGGACATCTCAGAGAGTCCAATCATCTTTATTGCGCCCAAACTTTCATGTGCCTGTACGGTAATACCATTTCCAAGGCAAAAGGTTTGTTGTATGTCATACACGCCACAGGCAACTTCACACTATCCCTGAGTCGCGTCACAACGGGTACTGAAGGCGTCGCGTGTGTGCCTCACAGCTTTGAGGGAGGTGTGGAACCTTGGCCTCCATCGTCTTCTGTCTGTCCCTCCAACGGTGCCGGCCAGCGGTCGTGATCTGAAAAAATCAAACCACTCGCTCTGTACGAAGAAACGTAGAACCGAGACGCAACGGCCGAAGCGCATCATCGCTACACTAAACTCCAGCGTGAGCTATTGCCTTCCAATTTGGAATCCCCTCCTAGGTTCTGTCGCCTGATTTGCAATCATACTGCATGCTTAACGTCTCGTTGTATTTAGGTATGCAGAATTTATTCACTGTAGCTGTGCGAAATCGAGAGAATTCCTTCCACCTACCAGCTCGTATTCGTAGATTTCATTTTTCCGAACAATTTTGACAAATCTGAAGTTAGCTCTCGTCACACCGGAGTGATACAGAATGTTGTCGTTGGTCGTAAATTTCATTATTTTTCACCTGGAATCTCGAAGAAGTTCCTGGAGTAGAGGCTCCCTCCCGAATCAACGTTAAGCGTCGCCCCCGAGACGAACGATGCACCGGGGCTCAACAGGAAGCAAACCGCTGCTGACACCTAGTGGCAGAATAATAGAAAAACTGTAGAAAAATATTAAAAATATATATAATTTATTTATGTAAATATCTAAATATATAATAAGAAATATTAGGGAGAAGGGCATGCAGAAGATTTCACCTGAACAAATGATGGGCAGTATTTGTTAACGCGACATGCATACACATACGCACACACACGTAAAATTACAAACGTGTGCATTATATACATCTACCCATACATATACACATGTACAACGAACTAACAGTAATAAAGTAAACAATGACTATAGTTTTTCATTGGTGGCTAAAAAATAACTTTGGTAGCTCAAGTCTTGGCTCAAACTTTAAAACATCCAGAGGGAGCCCTGCTATACATATACATACGTGAAACAAACAGGCAATATAATAACAGCAAGGCATACATTACTGGGTTACACTGACCTCCTACATTGTTCCCAGCCGCCTGGTAGGTATCTCACGTTGGGTATCTCGCCTGGCGGGTATCATACGTGAAACAAACTAGCAGTAATAACAGCGGGTCGTACATTACTGGGTTACATGTGAACACAGACCTCCTGCACCGTTCCCAGCCGCCTGGCGGGTATCTCAGGCTTGAGTCGCTCAAACAACGCCGGGTCCCCATAGTTCATCGCCGCCGACTCAGAGTAGATGGCGCTACCCTGAAACAGACGCGAGCGACCTTAACACGCAACCTTGCTCCGCGACCTTAACACGCGACCTTAACACGTGCCCTTGACATGCAACCTTAACACACGACTTAACACGAGATTTATTTAGAAGATGATATGGCGGTATTTCGAATTGGCTATGCATGCAGCACTGGCAGTGGGGGGGGGGGGCATGTGCCACTTCTTTCAATCAGCTTTTCTTTGAACGAAAGAGAAACGATCGAATGAAATTCGACTGATTCTGCAATTGATACTAACTAGAGTGGCCTTCAGAAAATTACACCTGAACACGTAATAAAGAATTTATGATACGAATAATGCTGTTAAGACCCTACCGGTAGAACACAGTTGATTCTGATGCCGTACTTAGCCCACTCAATTGCCATCGTCTTTGTCATATTCTCCACACCTGCTCGTGCTGCCCCCGAGTGGCTAGAAAAAAAGTCGACTGTGCATAAGTTTGGGAAATGCATCCCCTTGCTAATTCGAGCTGTGATCACATCTAACTTGTTAAACTGTAGAGAAGAAAACATGAAGTGTGAAAGACTTTGTAGTATCACGCAAATTTTATTTCTGGAGTTGAATGCGTGACTTAGCTGGATGAATACGGTGTAACATCACAACGGTGCTACATCAGCTTTGGCCGTGGATTCATCTCAAAATATATGCGACACTCCAAGTATGCAAAAAAATTATTCTTATTTTTTCACAATCTTAATTACAATCTAATAAAGTAGTTTATTAATTAAACTAGTAATTGCATACCTACCCCATGAACAGCATACCCTTCACCATGTCGGCAATTATGTTCACAATTGAACCACCATTTTCCTTCATTCCGGAATGAAAAGCTGAAAAGAAAAGTACCAAGCAATTACTTCAGTTCTGTTCCATTATTTACACAAAACCTCTGTATTTTCACCTACCTTACCGGCATTTTTTGTAACCATGGTGTAATCCAGTTATTATCGTACCTCGATTCACCAACAGAATGTTTCATGACAGTATGTATTATAAATACTATACCTTCTCTACACATGAGGAATGCACCAGTGAGGTTTGTATCTATCACAGCTTGCCAGCCTTTGGTACTGATGTCTTCAACATGTGATATGTACTGTCCCCCCCCATTGTTGACCAGAAAGTCTATCTTGTGAAACTTTTCTAGGGTAGACTCCATCAAATTCTTAACCTAGGAATAGAAATTATTTAAGGTCATATTATGCCATATAGTTGATACTTTGTATTCTCGAATATAACAATCGATCATATCTCATGCAGTTCCATGATAATGTCTTCATCTGAATTCATTTTACCATGCCAAGACTAAGAAGTATGAATTAACTACAGGTTACTGCAACTAACCAGGTACCTCATTTTCCTTGCGTATGTTGCACGGTATAGCAAGCAAATCTGCCCCGGTGTGCGGCTGCGCTACCACAAGGCGATTTCTCATGTCCTCTGCTGCTTTCCTAAGGCGCTCCTCATTGCGTGAAGCTACAACCACTTTGCATCCTGTTTGCAAATAAGGAAGCCGGAAATATATATAAATTAGACTTACTTAGACCTAGAGATAAATGGATGGCTACATGGTGAAATCATGAAAATGATACCAGGTGCAAGTCTGGACTGGAGACGTTTCAAGAGTCATTCCTGATAATATTTCAAGATCAAATATCTAGTAGGCCTATGTGAAACATGATAATGAGGTATTATTCATAAGAAACACAGACCTGACCCTCGCTAACCCCCCACCCTTACCACCACTGGCACCACCCCACACACACTAATCATGTCAGTTGCAACCTTTACTTGGGATTAAGTTCAAGTAATTAGTATGACTAGGCTCTCCAGCCTGCATCTATATATTTATCTACATTCATAAATTTGGCGCAAATCTTAGCACCTTAGGTATCACGAAGTGATGCACAGATTTCTAGTGTGCGTAGACATCCGACCCGATCGGCGAGTGCTGAAGAAAATTGACCAATCACAGAGCAGCGCCATGGGAACCGCATTCGAATGGAATG